CTTTAAGTATCTCGAGGAAGAAGCTGAGTGACGATATGGAGGACGCAAAAAATTGAACCATATGAAGGAGTCGCAACGACACAAAGCTAAATCGGTTAATAATTATTAACAAATCATCTTAAAGACAAAACCGTCCGTTTCAATGTACGCACATGGCCGAAACTTTCGTAACTGGCGAATGAAAGACAAGCCCGCTCAATCTGCCTAACTTTCGGACTGAGTTTAATGATCTTTAAATAATCTCGACAACAGCTGCAAGAGTAAAATCTTTCTCCGCCGACAGCTTCCAAGACAACGTTGATTGAGTGGATTGCTGCGGCAATGTCGTCTTCACGATGAACTGTTACCAACAGGAAGGTTCGGCTTCAAACAAAAAGAAGTACGTCTATGACTGGATGAACGGAGGCGGCTGCCTCACCCAGCAGAGTACACGGGTTTGGTTAACGGTGCAGCAGTGGCACAGAAACGAGCAATGCGCTAAATGAGGCTTCTAATTAACGACCATGTAACCTGGTAGGATCAAGTCTCACCACTGGTAGCAGTTACAAGAAAAAAATATTATTATGCAGCAGGACTATGCGCAGATGCTAGTTTGTACAAGAAGTAGGCAGTATTTCATTACGTACCATGTTTCTGTTTACTTCTCAATGCCGTCGACTGCCAAAAGAGGCTACGGCACGCAACCAGGTGCAGGTCGACGCTAGTCGCACATAACATAGCAGCGCTACAACGAGGTTGATACTAAAAATAGCGGCTCACTCGTTGTACCATGCCATCGCACAGAATCATTAAAAGGAAAGATAGCGTACGGAGTGGGGACTATGCCACCGTTAACTCCAGAACAGAGGATTTCCTACTGGAATCGGTTCTGCGGAACTTGTCCAATTGACGGAAAAGTGGGACCGTCACAAAATCTTCTGAACCTATGAATCCTGCAACCTCAAGGGAGAGAGTGAACTATGAACTTAAATCAATGAGACAATGGCTGCAAACACTTTAATCTAAAGACGAAAGAAAACAATTGCAATATTCTCGTGCATGCAATATATCTATGCAATACCACAAAGAAAATGCTATGTAAGCGCAGATTACAGATCCACAAACCCTAAATGTCGCAAATTATCGACTTACCAAATAAACAATGACGCTTTCAGCACTTTCTTGAACAAGAAACGCCAAGACTCTGCTTCGGTCAAGCTCTTTCACGGTTTCACAGTCTTCGGTAAAAATCTAAACGCAAAATATACGGTTGCAATACAAATAAATCACAAAGAACGTTAGCACAGCGAGTTTTATGGAATCGTGTGGAAGAGCACATCTCATTCATTTCTCAAATTCCACATCATCGTCTCCATAACCTTTCGTGTAGCGGATGCAGATGAGTCAGACAATGCTTCTAACGTTCCTGATCCTATGCCAGAGTCAGAGCTTCGGCAGAATACAACTGGAGTCTGGAACAGACTCCTTCCATATATTTGCACAAGGTTAATCTTGACCTTCCTCTGGACCTTCTACCGGTTGGATGGGAAGAAACAATCACTTAGCCCTCCTTTCTGAAGACATTCGCAACACGTGCCTAAACCATCGCATCTATGACTTATCAATACGAAGAAGCAGCGGCAGTACACCAACGCTCTCGCGGATGTCTGTATTTGAGACAGTGACGAGACGATTAAGGCCAGCGACTCATCTCAGATAGCCCTTTTCAGACACTTGTATCTGGGATGGAAGTTTTACAGTGATGTTCTACGACTCATAATACATGCATCAACAAAGGAATGAAGATGAACTTGAATAACGAGAGCACAGTCTTCAGACTTAGCTCTGCTTTAGTCGCAATGGTTCGGGAAAATTCACGCAGAACGCCATTGGCTACTCCAATTCGCCAGTCGATCTCTTCCTCAAATTTTCCATCACCAGTAAACACAACCCACAAAGTACTTTAACTTTTGCACCCATCGCACCGCTATTCTGTTTATGTGAAGAGAACAAAGGGAAGGAGAACAAGTAAGCACTAGGCTTTTGTCTTAGATACGTTTACACGCATGCCAGCAACGTCTCACTCGGCTGCGAACCTTCCCAAAGAGGGCTGTAGATCAGTATCAGAAGACGCCAACAAAACCAGCAACTTCTGGCCTCGACAACTACTACGCTGATGCACTCGTCGCCTTGACTGCGACTAATTATTCCATCTTTGTACAACACAAGGGAAGAGAGGAGAGAATGCAACCCTGGCGGAGACCAGCGGCAACGTTGCAAGGTTTCGATTTAACGTCATTTACTGACGGAGCACCTGCTATCAGAATAGAGTGATTGAACGTAGCAACTGACCATCGATCCAGTATGTTCGTAAGCATACCCACTGACTGTGGCGCGGGATCCCGTCATAGGCTTTCCGCAGGTCCACAGTGGTGTCGTCCCCTTAACCACAACAGGTTGACAGACGTGTATAAGCCAGTGCATGCTTTGTTCGTCTATTGCCTTGAGCATTTCAGGGCGTATTTTATTAATTCCAACAGCATATTTACTTTTCAAGCCTTTCACAGGGTGCGTGATTTCATATACAGAAAGACTAATATCCGTATGCCACTGTTCTTCAGGCGAATCTTCTTGCAAATTCTCAAGGTTAAGAAGTGAGTCAAAATACTCTCCCCCGGAGTATGTCCTTATCCTTGGTAAGAGGGTGTCCAAACCTGTCGTTAAAGACTCTTAGGTTGCTCTTCTATTCTCGTCGGAGCCGGCGGATAATGTGATAAAATACCTTGTAGACTCTCTGGAAATTCCACTCTAACAGCTCCCCGAACTCGTCCCAGGAATCCGCTTTGGCTTTCATCGCTGCTTTAGCTGCCACTTTGCACGCCACTTCATATCGCATGGGAGTTGAAGGCTCTTTGTTTAGAAGTCATTTCTCCTCAACTGACAGTGTGGAAGGAAGGTACTGAAGAAAGTTACTTCCTTCGTGTACTATAGGAAGTTCTTTTCTGATCTCCACGAAACAGGCCAACTAGTTTGAAAGCACAACATTAGGATCACCGAGCAAGCCGCTCTTAGAGAGCTTTCATTTGGCTTCCACATCAGTGTCATCACCGGGGTCTGTTAAAACCGTTGTTTCTAACCTCTGTTCTCGTATCCGAGGAAAATAACATTTCCGATTTGGTTCTGTCGTTGCTTATGTCACCAGTTCATCGCATGGTACTTCAAGTCTCACAGCGTAGCTTGCCAACAACAAAGCGGCGATCGAGTTACTACTCTGGGCCTCTCTTAAAGCGAACTTCCGCTACCGAGCATCGCAAGTCAGACTATAAGATTATTAAATCGATCATCGATTTCTGTGCACAAGCATCCCTGTACCAGGTATACTCATGCATCTTCGATGCTCGAAGAAAGTGTTCATAATGGACAATCCGCTGTTTGCAAAAAACCGCAATGACTTCACGCAAATTCCAAAACCCAAAAAACTGAAGATTACTTCAAACAGCATGAGATTATATTCGTTGTAGTGCTGCCATCAGTTAGGGCATAAGATAATGAACTCCATCTAGAACAAACCTATTTATATGCTGAAATGTAAGCAACACCGTAGGATTGCATAAAATCTGATGAAACTTTCATGGGCGAAATTTAACAGCGGGTGTCAAATCTTCCAATCCAACAAGAAACTGAGTTTCTACCGATCGGTTAGTTATACTATTGTAGCAATTAGAAAGGTATCAGATTTCAGGGGCATGAACATATTTTGATGTGAATGCAGTGGCATAAGGGAATTACCAGCTCCTTAAACGTCGTTTTAATGAACAATTCAATGCAGATGCATGTGGCGCTTAAGGAGCTCAAATGTTATGCCAGCCCCCACATCCACTGTAGACAACTAGAAGTAAGCGGGAGATGTGCCGTGAAATCCGGTCTTGGAGTTATGCACCACCTGATATACTATAACGTAAGAACATACCATGATGTTTAACCAGCTGCCATAGAGCAACAGGAATAGGAATTTTATAAAACTGATGGACTTTGCGTAATGCTCTCAATGCATTTTTAATGTCAGTGTCTAAATCAAACAGTTCAGAATCTTAAAACACTTTAAGCCCCAGTACAACTTCAATAAAATACTACAACATATAAGATCTGAAATAGAAGACACTGGGGCATACGCTCCTGACATTAACGTGTGTGACAACCCACTATGATAGAGCTAACCTTGACCTTATGTACTGGGATGGACAGGAATCCATGTCAGCTTCGCACCAGGTAATTATATGACGGGAGAAACCAAGAACGATGCAAGACAATAATAGATTAAGTGTGCTGGAATACCTGACAATACGACACAGCATATGTAAGTATGCATGAATATACTTATACATATGTTCATATTGAAAATGCATACATGTATATACGTATGCATTTATGAATGGGCATGAGCATGTGTATGTAGGTATACATACATGTGTGCAGATATCAGGCGAAGCCCGCGCCTTGTCCGCTTGTCGTTTGTGTGATGTACTCTGCATAGAAAATATATGTAAATATGCTGCTCGATTTAACGATGAGGTCACGTTCCGACGAACGCACTGTGAGCAGAAACTATCGATAACACAGATCGATAAACAGTCGAATAGGAATATACGAAAATTGAAAAAGTAAATAAATAACTACTGTCCTTTAATAAGTAAATAAACGAATAACTGCAGTAAGTAACAAAGTACTACTTATTTACAAGTTAACATCAGTTGCTAGAAGATGACGCTGAGGAAGATATTATACCGACAGGATCATGAATTGCTTTTGCTTCTGATGATTCGTGAATGACAGTATAGCTCGTAGAAGCAACTGATTAGTCGGCATCTATTACTGATTCAGAAACAGATGCTTGCTTCTTCAGGAAGACATCAAATTTTGAGTGGACAGTTTTTCTCCTTCTTCATTATAAATTTCTATATACCAAGCGAGAGCATTTACAATTTGTTTTTTTAACGATTTGCAGTCTCTCATAATTATGATCATATCGTAACCATATGACATGTTTACGCTGGCGGTCACCACAGAAACCGAGAGCGCGTCACTATCACACAATCGAAATGCGAGGAGCACGTGTATACAACACGCAACAGTAAGTGGTGCTATTTCGTGTCGTGGTGCTGTTAGTTCGTATTTATCGTGTCCACGAGTTTCAGACGACCAGCAGCAACACGGATACCTTCACAGCTTAATATCCGTAGAAGAAATAAAAGAGAAAACGGTATGTCACCAGGGTTGAATGCCTCGACTGCTGAAGTATCAATGAAATTCAGAAACCTGCAAAATGTTCGGCCATAAAATCAGGCCTAGCAAAAGCCTTTATGCGAGTCAACCGTGCGCACTACGATGTTGGGAGGTCATGCGGGCACGTAATGTCAGAAGTCAAGCACTTGAAGAGGAGTTCGAACAAAATGATTCCCTAAGAGCAAGGAGCCTACAGTAAAACGTTGGTTACACCAAAGAAGAGTAATCAATTAAAGATCTGAAGAAAAAGAGTCTGTCACATTGATGCAAACGTCTGCAAGTGCTAATCCTACTTTAAGCGCTTCCCTCGGATTTCTTTTGAAAATCCACTTCGCAAAGTGGAACACCACATCAGCATTTTCTTGCCCCAAGTTCTGTAGGTAATGGATGCTGCGATCCAAGCCATTCAACGGAGACTCTTCTACATCCGCTTGTTCCTTCAGCAGATTCAGCGCTGAAACGATTCGATAGCGATATTACGCAAAGGTATCAATCAATTGTTACCTTTCACATGGAGTCCTTTCCTCTCGTAGAGCAGAAAAAGTTCGCTGAATTTTTTAAATTGCAAAAGAACTCGTTCACTTTCAGCAGTGTTGCAACTATTATCTGACAACCTGAGGAGAGACGCAACCAGCATATCATTCGTCTAAAAAGCCTCATATTATGTACTTTCAAAAATGTTTACACAGTTAAACTAAGAAAATAAAACACATAGGAGAACATAACGTGTCACTGGTATAATCGAGCAATTGCCAGGACAAATGATTATATCAATACTGCATTTTTATGAATGCTTTTGAAAAGAAAACGAAGTCGAAAACTTGTAGATAATTAAAAAATAAGCGAACACAGCGTTATTGCATTATGTAATTGAACATATGTAGCGCATAAATTGGATGGTAGGAATGCGATGACAAGGTGAAAAGTCGCATCTGAATCCTACACTAGTTTATCAGATCCATCCTAAGTTTTAATTCCAGTACGTGAACACAGTAAAAAGGTAAAACAAGATGTATAGTTGAGTTTCCATGCTCCGGTAGATTCAAATATGCTGTAGAAGATTGAAAAATATACCCGAGCAAAGGAAAAAAGCAGCACTCACCAAGCTGGCAAGCCCATGTGGTGAGTTATGCGAAATCGTCTAAGATGAAGTCATTAATTAAATATCAGCACTCCTTTGCATGAAGCTGGCTTGTCCCCTGCAAAGGCACCAATTGTTCAGGCATTAAGCGTTACGAATCGAAGTTACTACTGTTGACCAAAGCTAGAAATGTGTAAGAACTGATCAACACTTACAGTCGAAGAATGCTCAAGAGGTGGAAGAAAATACATTGAAAATCAAGTGGGATATTGCACGATGCAATAAAATGAGACGGATGAGGTTGGGCCGTTAGAGTTTAAGAGCGGAAACTTCTTTTTCTACAGAAGGTCAGCAAAGGACAGCGTAGGATTCATAGTGCACGAAACATTAAACAATAAGGTTGTGCAAGTGACAATACTTCAGAAATGTTCAAGATGGGTTCTGAGAATTTCAAGGCGATACATATTTTATATGATTCGAGTGTGTGAGCCGAGAACTGGACAGCCCAATGAAGATATTGAAGATATCTAACGAGAAACAGAAAAAGTGAATGAAACTTGAAAAAGCCATTACAAATTCATCATTGGTGATATCAACGCCAAGGTCAGACAACAGTGAGGGACAAATGCTCTGTGGCTGATTTGGTAACAGCAAAACGCAAGAAACGGGTGACCGACTAAAACAATTTCCTGAACTAACAAGTTATTTATTATGAAATCCTTTTTTACAAAAAAAAGTAACTTAAAAATGGACATGGAAAAACTTACATGAAGTTATGAATGAAATCGATTTTATCCCAGTAACAAGAAGATCAAAACGCACAACCTCGTGGTGCTGAATAGGTGGGACGCAGAGAGCACCACAGGCTCGTCATATGCCAAGTGCATCTGCACTCAGCTTTAGAGAGAAAGACACTGTTCAAGAAGAGACGCAAAATTTTTGACCTGACAAAACTGAAGAAGAAACTACCGTATTATTATTCGAGGTCAGATGAAATGACAGATTCAACGTTTCCTGGTACAAACAGAAACATTGGACATTGACGTAAGACATCAAGATAAAATGAAAGTAACAAGAATCGAGGAAAACGAGTCCAAAACAAGGATCACGAAAATGGATTGAAAAAGCACGAAAGAAATAGAAGAACTCAAGAAGAAAGAAGCGAAATGAAACGAACAAAGAGAACTTTGAAAAAGCATGAGGTAATGAACACACATCTGAGCATTCATCTGCACACTGCTACAAGAAACTGAAGCATAAAGGAATTAAATCGACAACTGTTGATTGCGAAAGGAATTTTCAGATCTCGAAGCGGAAGGCGAAAATGTCATCAGTGACAGACACGGATTCTAACAAGAGAAGATTTCTACACAAAAATGCACAGACATGAATGTGGAAAGATCCTTGATGACAATAAAGAGGCTCAAGATACAAATGCAGCACTCAAAATTTCAGATATGTTGTCACAAGAACAGCGGAATAAAACGAAACATACGAAACATACGTGACGAAAATGTCATTACACTGCAACTCATGAAATCAGGAGGCGAACCATGATTAAAACATTGGTGAGGTTCTTTTTATCGAGAATTCCAGATGAATGCACCACAGTATTGGTAGTTTTACTCTACAAAAAGGGAAACAGAGAGAATCTGAAGAATTACAGGCTGATCAGCTTGCGTCAATGTACTACAAGATTTTCACAAAGACACTTACGAACGGAGTCGAAGAAAAACTAAACGCAGAACAGTCAAAGGAGCAAACAGGACTCCAGAAATCAAAAGTGATTTTGCACCATGGCTCATCTCCACATGGTATATCAAGTAATTCAGCAAACAACGAATACAGGCTTCGTTTTGGCCCGGAGTTCATCGATTCTGAGTAGTCTTTCGACTCAATTTATATCCCATTACGTATGGGATTCCTTGAAGAACCAGGGAACAGAGAAATGATACAGAAACCTCATCGCAACGATTTATAAAATTGCAACTACAGCGATAAAGGTTCATGAACGACAGTTCAAAATTGAAAGCGTCTCGAGGGATACACAATATCATTGAAGTCATTCACAATAATTACAGAAGAGGTTTTAATGAAACCCACTTGGAAAAAGCAGGGCTGAACGTTAATGAAGACTACTGCATTGTTTGTGTATAATATTCTCAAAGTCACCACCCAAAAGTTCTAAAAAGAGAATACAAGAGGTGAACGACGATAGCATCAAAGCAAGAGTGAAAATGGTCCTGAAGTAGATTCAAGATTCGACATGGCCTTCAATAGGGATTACCATCTTCGAAGTAACTTCATCCAATGTGACGCTATGCGATTCGATCTCCTTTTGTGGGTTCATTTTTCGTACTGCTAAGATGTTTCGCGACATAAACGACGTTTCTGTCTTATTTCATTATAACGATTTTAATACCAAAAAAATCACAAGGCAGAACATAGGCAATTAAAGGCAACCAAAACTTCGGCGATCCTAACAGTCGTAAAAACCGTATTCATCAAGAAATTATGCAATCAATGCCAATCGTTAACTGTGAGTTATGATATTCGAGCTTCATTACCATATTTTGCGAGGTCAAAACGGTCTACGCGAAAATGTATTACCATCAAAACAACCCGTCAAAGCGAAATCGTTGTGAATAAGGAATGTGTACTAGATTTCCACCCTAATTTAAGCCAAGCAAGTGGATAAATTTCCGGAAGGGAAGAATATCACTGACGGTTTGAAGCTCATTGCTCATTGGATAAGCCATTTATTCTGAAACAAAGATGTGTAATATCACACAGCGACCTCTGACAAAGCAAATCAGAATATGTTAAAAAGGAAAATTCCTCCGGGTACGGAAAGACCAGGAAAACATTCTCTTCTACACGTCACGTACCAGAACTTCTCATGTCATTCACCTGGCGATGAAC